CACACACACACACACACACACACACACACACACACACACACACACACTGAATAAAGATGACCTTGACTCCGAGGCTTTGGGGATTCACCGTCAGGTCTATAAATAAGAGGCACCTGCAGCATCACGTACCTGCAAATCGGTTTCTGGGACAAATTACATTTACAGGCGAGCCGATCAAGTTTCAACTGAAGCAACGTCAGCTATTAGCGACCGTCTTTAATAAAAGGAGGGACATAAATCAAGAGCGGGTTTATTATCAGGTCTCATTAAAAGTCCTTCGGAATGATTTTTAAATGGATCAATGTAAACTGGGTCATGGGAAACTAATCACTAACATATATTAATGCATCAATGCAATAAAACTTTGATCTTCAAACTGCTTCATACTGGGCTCCCTATGAGTGGAATGAAACCTTTTGAAATGAAAATAGTGCTTTTATTTTGAAGGAACTGTTCATTTAACGGGGAACCATTGTACACAGGTTTCTCTTGAAAAGAGAGTTCTGATCTCCATGAGACTTCCTGTTTCAATAAAAATGATCTCAAGCGAGTCATGAAGCTCGTTTGTCTTTTCTGTTGCCTTAGTAACGCGCGCAGAGCGCCGGCTGTTGATTGGACGCCGTACCTCATGGTGGTGTGCTGGTTCGGGGGGAGCAGGCTGTAGCAGGGCTGCATGCCGGCCACGGCCACCGCCCCCTGTCCCGGCTGACAGGACACAAACACTGGCTGCTGGTACGTCTGCTGTGGCACAGAAACCTGCTGCAGGGAAAAAAATTAAAAAGGTGACCATGGAAATCAAGCAAATAAAGCAGCAAAACCCGAGAAAACTGGCTTTATTGGCTGATTCCAGCACATAACCGTAAAAGAAGAGGCCAAATAATCATTTTCTTTGCTGGATAAAAGCAATAAAGTCAAAAAAATGTCTTTTTGAGATTTTCCCTTGCTATGAATACCAAAATAAAAGCACCACGGAGAAGGCTTCTTCTATCACACTTATGCATTCCTCATTATCGGACATTTGAAGCCACTTGGGCATCGTTTTGTATTCTTTCTAACCAACGCTGGTTTTCTCCAATTAATACCGAGTGCACGCTTTTATCTTTTGAAGCTCGAACAAAACGAGCTGAAGACATCATCAGAAGTGAAAGCTTGCAAAAGGTACCTGATAGGACTGCATTGGATTGTACTGGACCATCATGCCTTGCATCTGGTTGCCCATATTGCTTTGCTGGTTGCCGGTGAGAGCCAGGCTGGACGTCGGCTGCATGCCCACTATGGCCTGGTAGCTGGACGCCGGGTTGGGCATCATGGCTTGGTGCACTGAGGAGAGAAAAAAGGCACAACGCTGTGTGACCAAATGAAAAGGAGACCACTGACGGGAACGATAACAACAAAGACATTGCCATTAATATTCACATTCATTTAAAAAAGGGACATTTGAGGAGGAGGGAAGCGGAGGATTGAAAGACGGTGGAAGTCGAGCAGGTTTGAGGCACTTGGGGATAAATGAGAAAGTCGATATATTTGATTTAGCCTGCGGGCGGCCTGAACCTGCAACCCCCGAGGGGTCCGGCCGCTTCCACTCCGACGGGCGATTAGGTTCAGGGGGGTAAACAGAGAGGTGGCGACACGTTTCTATAGCACTGCTTAAAAACCCATTTAGAGACGGAAAATGAACGCACACAGAGGAGACAAAGTCACGCGGATCTGTCCTGAGGGGAAGGAGGGGGGGGGAATCGAACGTTTAAATGTCAAGGTGACAAAAAGAGACATCTGAAAAATAGCATCCTCGTCACACACACACACACACACACACACACACACACACACACACACACAC